GGGCCGGGGGCCGATGTGCCGTGTGGGCTGCCCGGGCCCGGCGCCCCGCGGAAACCCCGAGTGGCGTTGTCAGGGCTGGCAGCCATCGTGGCCGGTACCCGCTTTGGGCTCTGCTGAGTGACGACGATCCGGGGCGCTGGCCTGCTGCTTACAAAAATAAAATGTTCCCAGTGGGAGTTGCAGCATTGGCAGCAGTAGCTCCGGTCCTTACTAAGCCGCATTCCCTTGTCCCTGGCGCCCAGCTGTATCTGGGCGATGTGCGGTGGAGCTTTACGCAGCGCTCCGCCAACCTCGGGAGCCAGCGCTCAGAAGGCAAGAAATGTGCTTCAGCACACCTGACCTCAGGGCCTGACTTCATGCCTTTAGCCCTCTCATCCCTCCTCATATTTTTCTTAAAACATTTTTTGTACTGGCTAGCCATTCACCTTATGCTCATGTTTCATTTAGGCATTGTAAAATTAGAATTAATGAGTTTTATGTTTAAAACCAAGTCTTAATACTTTTATTCGTTTTCTCCTTTCTTTGTTTCTTTCTTGTATGTGTTGTGAGGGCATACTCAGATTCATTCAGTGAGATGTCTTTGCTTACCTTGGTGGAATAATATGTAGTAAACGTGATGAACGTTGTACAAATGGATGGCTAAGTGCCTTTGATTACTTTATTGAGGCATCAAAATAGTGGCGTCTACTGAGAAAGAGTTGACAGTGTTAGACTGCAAGATCTGGCCTATGCTTGAAATGTATTGCCCTCTTGAAACATTTTTGGGTGTATTTAAGTATCTATTTATTTATTCCTTTTTTTTTTTTTTTAATAGGATTGGAATGCACCTACCAATGCTGGCAAACCTGTATATGGTTCATTATGCCATGATGGCTGCTAGTACAGACAAGTTATAATATAGCACCCTTTGCTTTCTAGGATAGTCAATCATTCTACCTGTTACTTCTTTCCTGTGTCCCTTCTTAAATACACCATCATTTTGACTATTTGGAGACGGAGAATAGATTAGTTTTATTCACATCTGAAGGATACTTGCAAGGCAGTTACGATTTGTGGTGCTTTCCTAGAGGACCCTAGCTGATTGAAGATGCCTGATTCTTTTTATGAGCATGAAAGCTATACAGCAAATGCCTTCTAATAACTACTTGAGCAAACTGCCAAAAGAAGAAAATGAATGTGCAGACAAGCACTTCCTCTACTGAGAGTGCATTTCTGCACTCTCTGGCTAGTGACATTTGGTATGGCAAAGCAGTGTAAATATTTCTAAGAAATTTTCATTGGCACAGTGATTCTTCGTAAGTAAACCTGTTTAAAATTGTAAGAATGTGTTTTAAGACCTAAATTTTGCAACTGTGGAACATAGAGCAGTATTCAGTCACTGTGTGCCTGCTGCAAGAAAGTTAAAGCAAGCCCCTGAACAGAGGAAGGTTCCTAGCTGGTTATCTGGGGTCAGTTTGAGGAAGTGGAAAAACGTTTTGACAGTTGTAGCCCCTTCTGCAGGTAGAGTTTTGTTGGGAGGCAGTGGGGTGTTCATTCCAGGTTAGCTCAGGTGAGAAAGTAAGTTTTATTTAATAGCAGTAGGAGACATTTGGTTTAGGGATAATAATTATGTAAGAAGCTAGAGCTTTCAGATATAAAGTCTTGAATGGTAACCAAAAAAGAATTGACTCGCCTTGCTCACTCGAGTAAGTCGGGTCATGAACTACATTTCTGTTGTCTTCTCTAGTGAATCTAGTATATTGAAATTACCTTTGTTTAATGAAAACAGTATTCCAGTACGGCTTTCTTGTATTACTAAAGGAGCTCCTTTTCCACTTGAAGCTGAATTCAAATGCAAAATTTTCACTCAATTTTAGATTTGTAATATAATAAAAAGCTGCCGTTTATGATGTGAATGCTTATCTTTAAGTGCTGTAACTACTTCAGTGCATACATCCATCTGGCTACAAAAGAAGGTGCCAAGCTGAGATTAAATGTGTTTAAATTGGTGTACCTTGGCATTTACTGCCCATGTTAGTTAGCCTTGTGTGAACTAAAGCAATAAAGCAGAGCCCCAAGAAATGACAGAAAATGTCACCCTTAGAGTTGAAAAGTCAACTTGAGTGAAAAAATGGTCCACTCAAAAGAGTCCTCAGATTGCTTCAGTGTGGTCCAGCTGATGGGCCATAGGCTAAATTCAGTGTGGGGAGTCCTTCCCTCCATCCTGCTGTCCCTTCCCGGGCAGAACTCGGAGTCCCTCTTCCAGGACTACATGTAGCCTTAAGGGCCAGAGGCCACCAGCCTACACACACTCCAGTCCCGAGCCTCAGCATTGCTGTGGCCGCCGGTTCTGCGGTGGGGAAACGGGAGGGGAGGCAGCAGCTGCTGCTTTCACAGACAGTCACTCACTGTGCATGGTGCTTTCTGAATGCTTATTTTTATGGCCTGACAAAAAAACAGTGTCATATGTATAAGAGCTACACACATGGTCATGTTTTGTATTTACAAAAATATATTCTTACAAAAAATTATCTCAGACTGGGCAACCAAAGCCAGTCATTGTTTTGACTAATTGATTTTTTTGCCCTCGTTCGGCGAACTATGGATAGTAAGAACAGTGTGTTATGTTTTACAGAATCAAGTTGTGAAGTGTTGGGATGACACAGTGATATAAAAGCACAGGAGACAAGGGGGTATATGTGGCTCCCTTTCATGTGAGCAGAATATTATTGGCATTAAAAAAAACAATGGAAGAGTTGTTAGCTAGATTGGATTTTTTTTCTATTAATTGCTGTGGTGTGTTAGGTGTTCTAAATTGTAAAGTAATCTTTTATAATCTATTGCATTTTTAGAGTGAATATGAAGGGGGTGCCTGGTTCTGAAAGATGGAATACTTGGAATACCCCTAACATTGAGTTTGGGGGTTCATTTGTTTTTCTAGGGTTTTTTTAAAATTTTTTTTCCCCACCTTAAAATAATCCCAAGTCACAGAATTTGCATACATGCATAATTGTAACAAAGCACTACCACTTGCCTGTTTTGGTGTTACAGCAAGAAACTTTATGGAGAACATGTTGAATCTACTAGCATGAATTTTGTGCAGAACGTTAAAGGCATTAAGATCAGTTGTCCCAGAGAGTAAGACCTGAAATTTAATTACATTTTCCGTATCTCAAGGAGGAATATTTCAGCAATCATAATACTGTACTCAGTTTGCAAAATCATTGCTCAGGGAGGGAGATTATTATAAGGAACATGGGTTTTTTTGGATGAATTATCTCTGCCACAGTATAATATAAAATGGAAGCATTTTCCTGAGTCTTTCTGACAGACTGAATGAACTTGGTTTAGTTAAATATTTTATATTTTTAGAAACAAGTTCAGAATTATTTTTCAGTGAGTGAGGAAAAAGTTTCTGTGAAGAACAAAAAAGGGCAGATTTTCATGTCATAATGTAGCTGATTAATTTTATATTTCTTTTTGTTGTTTCATATTCGAGGCTTATATGAATCCCATAGCTATGGCCAGGGCACGAGGTCCTGCCCAAAATTCAGGACCAACAATACAAGACTACTTGAACAGGCCAAGGCCAACATGGTAAGTAGCAATACTTGTCTGCCCTTCTGACTTTGTGAGTAAAAGATTTGTTTCTTCTGACTAAGATAACACCAGCACTTGCCTCCTCCCCAGAATACACAGTAATATAGTTTGAAAGATTCCTTGTCTCTGGCTGGGGTGTTCTTTTAAATAACAATAATAAATAATAAATGTGTATTCACACTTCTCTTTTAAAACCAATAGTATTTAATTTTGAAATGCATTTTCTCATGTGTATTTAAATGTTCTGGCAACAGTTCCTCAGAAGAGGAAATGTTGGTCATTTTCCCTCTTTCACAAATCCTAATACCTGAAGCCTGCAAATACATTTAATTTTGAAACAAAGCAATCCCTAGAAAAACATTTTGCTGTTATTTTCTTAAAACAGTTTACCCAGCAAAACCATCACTTTGAGATACTATCAACAACTTAGTTCATATTCAGTCCTTTTTGTCTCCTCTCATAAGCCATTAGAGAACGATTTACCTAATTGCAAAGAGGGACTTAGCCACTGTACTTAAGTTATTAGGGTTAGGTTACCATATGCATAACATCTAAGATGTTTTCGTTCCTCTTTCTGTTGGAAGTTCAGCCAAAGCTAAACTCAAAAAAAAAAAAAAAAAAATTAGTCACTAAGGAAGGTACTTTTAATTGTGAAAATTGTGATCTGTCATCCTTTTTATGTAGGGAGGAAGTGAAAGAGCAACTAGAAAAGAAAAAGAAAGGATCAAGGGCTTTGGCTGAGTTTGAAGAAAAGATGAATGAGGTTGGTAATGTTACTAGTATGTTAATACTTGATTCTTATGTTATATGCTACTTTTCCTCCATTATCATTAACAGCACCAAGTACCCATAGTATTTTACTTCACTGAAGCTTTTAATCGGTAAATGTTTTGTATCAGAAGTTGAGGCTACCATTTAACAGATGAATAGTTGCTTGCAGTTCAGAGGAACACTGAATGTAAAAAGTTTTGAAAAGTGCTGCTGAAAAATACTTGAAGTTCTCATAAATGTAGATATTGATACAAATGCTTATGTTTATATTAACAAATGAAACTCATACATTTCCCAGTATTATAAACCAAAGTCCATTGTGTTAATCTTCACTTGTTTAAGGTCACACAATCCATATATATTGGAAACAGATGTATTACCGTAAACAGACATCTTTGGCAAGGGATGCACACGTAATATTAATACATGAGAGGGCACAGAGAACAGCCGTTGATATAGAGGCAGGACTATAAAGCTTATATTCTTCTGCTCTCATCCTAAGCTGATTACATTCTGTGCTGGTTCCCTGCTATAAATGCAGCTGTTCTGGGGCTTGTTGTCAGTACCTACTGGAGACCAGCGCGGTGTAAGAAAGTTTCACATATAGCTCCTGTTGTATACATAGGAGGAAATTAGCATACCATGAATTTAACTGTCCCTGTTTCTTCATGGGTTCTCTTCTCTCAAGATAAGCTTCAAGCAGTAACCTTCATCATTTTGTGTGAGTTTCTGGTTGAAGTAGCTTGTGCTCCTCTGCTACTGCAAGGGCGTAGTACCCACAGTACCCTTGCTGTACCTTATTGCTTGAGAAGTTACACCAGTATTTGGAGGCTCATGGTGTGGCATTATGAGAGGGTCAGTTCTGTACTTTGTGAGTTTTAGCTTGATGAGTTTGCTTTAGTATTTTATCATACTCCTTTCCTGCTTTTCTATTTACTTTATTGTGAAATTAGCATGGATAGACAATAACAGCCTTTTAGTATAGCAGAAGGGTAGGAAGGGATGCAGGGAACCATGAAATGGCTGCGGGTTCTTCCTAAAGCTCCTAAGGACAAATCTCTGAATGGTTGAAAAAGATCACAAGTCTCTGAATGAGGTGCTCTCTCTCTCCTATTTTACTAACAGATGCAGGGCTTTTTTTGTTAGAAACATAACACTAGCACAGTCTTAAAATAATATAAGGAGAATAACTGCGTAGTAAGCACAGGCTGTGGTGTTGGAGACCCCTGAGGTAGCTCTGGGTAGCTCCCAACCTCCTGCAGCACCTGTAGGTGCTGCCATGGACCGTGGCAGCGTGGCGCCGTGTCCTGGCTCCTCTGCCGCCCCTCAGCAGCACTGGGCAGCGCGTTCAGCCTGCTGACCTGGGGAGCTGTGCGGCATAACTGCATGGCACAAGTGTAATCTTACTGAAGGCCTGCTGTTTCTGTCCCTTCGGCACCATGTGTGGATTATTGTCACTCTGCGGGTGTGATAGCAATACAGCTTCATGGTGAGGGAAGGGAGGATCAAAGTAATAACCTTAAAGAAGGGAGCTCGTGAGGTGTCTGACACAGGTAGCTGAAGTAGCGCAGTTTGGAGCTGGCAGCCCCTCAGTCTGATGGGGTAGCTTGGATGTTTCAGGGGTCTTGAAGTGGGGATTTTAGGTAGATGTAGAGACCTCGTGAATGACTGAAAAGGAGGAGAGGAAACATATCTGTGCTGCGTGTGCTTGGCCTAACAAAAGTAAGTGTTTCTATGAAGATGTGTATAATACTTTAGCCTAATCATTGTTGACGCTGACAACACCCAGAATAGATACTAGAGACACCCAGGCACTGAAGAAGTGCCAGGAAAATTTGTCTTGAAATTTTGTTTATTGTGATTTTCAAACTAAGACAAAATAGCACTTTTTTTTTTTCTGGTAGAGGGCCCTGGCTTTCTAAAGTGCTCTAGCAAGAACCCTGTGATACGAAAGCAAAAATACCATAATTACTGACCTTCAAGAGAAAATATGGTCTCTTAAAACCAAATAACTTACATGTTAAGGTGTGAACTAACACAATATTTCAGTGAATATTAATCTGTAAAATCAAATGCATTATAGCCTTGGTTAACTTTGTGTTATTTATTTTCTGTGGGTTTTGTGAAAATTAATGTCAGGTAGAGGATAGGATTTCGAAAAATGTCTGTTGAAAAAACGTGTTTGGAAATGGATGCTCACATCACTGTTTCTGTTTGGCTTTGTTTTCAGAACTGGAGGAAAGAACTGGAAAAACACAGGGAGAAATTACTGGGTGGAAGCGAGAGTTCCTCCAGAAAGAAAGAGGTATGTTATCTTCAATTTCATACAGTCTGCATGTGACCTGGATTTATCATTGATGCCATTCAATACAGAACGTCCTAAGTACATTTTCAAAGCCAGCATAAAAATAAACAAACCTAAATGCATGTCAAAAGAATACAACGCCAAAGTAACATTTGTTTTGTTCTATTTTTAAGAAAAAGAAAAAGGAAAAGAAGAAATCTAATAGGGTGAGCAAAATTTTCAGTTTTCTGAACTCTTTTTGCTTTGGGGTTGTTCCTATTTGTCATTTAAGTTCTCTTGGAAAAGGAGAGCATAGCTGTAATTTTTAACATAGCTGTTAAATTATCTGTTTTTTCAGTGGGGTGGCATACATTCTGTACAAGAAAAATTTAGCTTCTGCTTAAAGAGAGGAAAAGAACATTAAATAGGTATTAGTAAATGAAAAATATTAGAAATTGCTTTTTACAGTTCTGTTTAAGATTATCTATGTAAGACCAGCTTCTTGGAAGTAAAATTCCACTGATAATACTTTGCAAATGAAGACATTTTTTAAGGGAGTGTTTGGACTTTGTTTGCTAGACAAAATGCTGCATCTCACAAGCTTCATTTTTTGTTGTGTTTGGTCAAGTTGTCTTCATCTTCCTCTTCTTCATCAAGCTCTGATTCTTCCAGCAGCTCATCTGATTCAGAAGATGAGGTAAGAACTAATTTATTAGAATCTAACGTGTTTTGTTCACGAGCCTTATTTACCACAGGTTTTGGTAATATATTTTAGAATGCTGCTCAAGGCTTGATTTGCATAAAACTATTTATTTTTTGTGCATTTGGTACATATACTGAAGTTGTGAATTTTAGGTAGGTATGTGTTCAAGAATTTCTTTATGATTTTGGGTGTCTGGCTTTTAAACTGTATCCATTTCTGTTTTAACATGGAATTGTATGCTTTTTTTTTTTTAGAATCTGCCATCTAATCATAAAAATGCAAACATACCATTTCTACTTTTTAGCAAAAATCTTTGTTACAGATAATCGGTTTTTACAGCACATATCTAAATAACAAACAGAATCTGGAGAACCTCCATTTTTCACCAGCTTACTTTTTTTTTCAATGCAGAAGTTATGAAGGTCCACCGCTAAAAGACTCAGTTTAGTGTACATTATTCCTTGAGAGAACAGGATAATATGTAGGAAATTGCTGTTCCCTGTTCTTGAAGTGGAAAGGAAATCTTTAATTCTTGTGAAAATAAATTCAGGCTTGTGTTCTTTTTTTTTTTTTTTTTTTTCCCCTACAATTTTTGTGGAAAGGATAAAAAGCAAGGGAAGAAGAGAAGGAAAAAGAAGTATCGCTCCTCACGGAAGTCTTCAGCAAGCTCAACTTCTGAATCTGAGTCAGATAGCAAGGTAAATATGCAGCTCTGTTGCTGTTGTCCAGTTTTCTTGATCTGTGTCATAGGGACATAAACATTTCTGACTTTCATTTGTTTGTCTTTTTTTGTCTTCCAAATTTAAAGCCATGCATTCTTATTTTAGCTGAGCTGGACTTCTCCCAGATGCAGTCAGGAATCTATCTCCACTGGCAACAATGCGCAGAATAATTTGATCTTTAGAAAATTTACATTCATTATTCCAACAACTTTCAGCTGTTTTTCTGAGTTCAGACACACACAGCTTTCTGTGCTGCTCAAATGTTTAGTTTTAATACTAAATTAACACTTAAAATATTCTGTGAAATTCTTGTGAGTGTGCTATTTAATTGAACACCACCCGTGAAAATACAAGTATTGCAGGTTATCATTGGCCAGAATATTTCCTTTCTAAATATCTGTGGACGTAGTAGTTTCCTTTTGGAGAATTGAGCCTTTCCCAAATTCATATTAAATTGAGGGTGTCTTTTTCCTTTTCTGAAAGTAGGACAGTGTAGATACACAGTCTTACTGAGTGAACAAAAGAAAAGTGGAAAAAAAAAAATGGGGCGGTTTGTTCTGCCATGTTAACATTTTTCTGTGTTACAGTGGAAAGTAACTGTACTTCTTGCCTAAATATTAATGATACAGTGAGTTAAGATTCTGTGTGTAGACTCTATCGCAGACTCAGTGGAATGCTTAATTCAGTGTGGTATAGATTGTGATGAATCACTGTATATACCAATGAATTTGTGCTAATAGGAGTTTGGAAACTTGCTACATCAAGGACCCAGAGATACCCTTACTGCTGAAACTGGAAGGCAGAAAGCTCCATAGAGATGCCTGCATAACCCCTGCCTGACCAGCTGAGATGGGTGTGGATAGAGAATAAAGACTCCAGACTGTTTCATGTTAGATGTATGTTAAATGTGGTTACAGTAGTGAATAGCTGGTGTCCTTTCCTGAGGCTCTCTACGTGTACTGCAAGTGCTGTGGTACTGAATTCCATAGACACCTTTCCTTCCACACTGCTGGTTCAGGAAGTAAGCAGTTGCATCAGAATGATGGGTTTTTCATGTATTCTCTATTAACTGCAAGGTAGAAAAAACAGCTTTAAAGAATGACCTTCATTAGACAGAAAAAGACAATGGGTCAGACTGTTCTTGGGATTTCTGCCTTTTTCCTGAAATAATTTCATCATCCTTTGTTTTTCTTTCTATTCAGGACAGCATAAAAAAGAAAAGGTCAAAGGAAGATCATGAAAAAGAGAAGGTATTTTTACTTTTGAAATACTTATATCAGAACTGTATTTTATGTACATAATGGAGTTCTCTCTTTTTTTTTATTTTTTATGTTGAATGCCTCCGTTTACACCTATGGAAATTTTCTGTGCAAAATTACACAGTCAGAAGGTATTCAGTACCCCCAGTTTGAGGTAGACTTTTAGTTGGGTTTAGCTCCTATTTTAGTAATTGTTGTTAGTGGAAAATCATGAATCTCTTCTTGGTATGAAAGTAAATGAAAAAGCTATCTTATCTGCTTTAGTAGACCAACTGCACTCTAGTATTTTGTGGTTTATCTTGAGCAGTAACATTGAGCTAAAAATATGTGTGAAGATATTTCAGTGGCATGCCTGGTAGAACACTGGCTTACTGCTGTAAATGAAGGGACATCAAGCAGAGATATATTTATCTAACTGTAGTCATCATTACTGATATTGTACTTAAGACAGCTCTGACAAATTGCAGAGAAAAATGTATTAGCTTAAGAAAATTTACCTTATTCTGTCTTTCCTCTAAGCGTGAAAACCCTCTCTCCTTCCCACTACCTCACCATTTTGTACACACATCTGAGGACTTTCTTCCTTCCATTATGCTTAATGCAAATAATCTCATTGACTTAAACTTTAGTTACTTGTACCCTATGTGTAAATTAACAGTGCTTTCAGAGTCCACCCTGCACTTTCTCTGAGCTACCTTTCTTACCACATCAGCCTCTCCCACTCCAGTCAACAATATTGACTTTGATGTGCAAGTTCTCCATCGCATACGGCAAATGTGTTGGTTTTTTTCCCCCCTTGCTTCTGCTTCCATGTCACAGTTTCCATTTCCCACCTTTTAACTTTGAGTGCCTCCTCCTCAAAGACCAAGTGTCTACAATAGCCCCTTATTGTAAAGCTACTTTCACTCATCCTCTAAAAGCAAAGGGCATTTGGGGACTAGAAGTCTTCCTCTACCTGAAGATCCCTGTCTCTCAAATGGGCTGCATCTTACGTACTTTTCATGAGTACTTTCAGGAAAGGACTGAGGTACCTGTAATAGCACAGCTGAGATGTGTGGTTCCACCTTGCAAAAAGACGATTAGCAAGAATTTTATGGAAGAAAATAGCCTCGATCTTAGGAACACCTTGCCTGCTCCAGAGCAAAGCGGAGCAGGGACAGCAGAAAAGTAGCTCATCAGAGCACTCCTATGCAGCATCAACATTTGAAAAAATAAAATAAAATTTTAAAAAACCCTATCCTTCAAATATACTGACATTATATCTGAAGTGCAGTTGACAGGGACACCTTGTCCTGATTGGACGCGTATAGAAGGAGCTTTTTGTTCTAATTTCACTAACAAAGCAAAAGTCCAAAGATGTAGCGGCATCTTCATTTACTCAGTATTGAAAAGGTGGAACATTTTATTTTCAAATGGTAACTCCTTTATGCATTACTCTTTAAAGTAAGAGACTATATTGTAATATTATTTCTCTCACTTTTAGACAGCTGTTATATCTTGGCAATAAGAGAAAATAATATACAGAAAAACATTATTTCCACTAAAAGCATTTTGACAGTTAGGGTAGTTTGTTGATGATGAGTAATGAGTTTAATGGCAACACTATTTTAAAATATCTCACAACTTAGAAATAGCATTTCAATCAAAATTTTAAGCAGAAGTTTTATAAATCTTGAAAGGCATGACTTTAGTGACAGGTATGTTACTTTGTGTAGGAAGGCAAAAATCACAGGAAGAGGAAGAAAGCTGATCGTGGTGATGGACCTTTGTCATCAGGGTCCTTATCAGAATCTGATCAGACAGAGGAGGTCAGTGTGAAAACTTAATTTCAGATGTTATAATGCTTTTAGCTTACTGATTCATGTGAGTAAATGTACAAACCAACCTGCTTAGATTTCATATATTGTTACAAGTGTTCTGCTCTCCACAGTTGAACTTGAGTGCAGCCCATTCAAAGTTTTTTGTATTTTTCTCTTTAAAAAAAAACTTTGTAAGAATTGTTTATCAAGTAAATTTGAAATAATTTTCTTTAAAATTTTCAATTTTTCTATATTTTAGATCTCCATGAAATGAGGCTAAGTGATTAGCATGGTATCCTTCAAGATTTCTTGAAGAATAGATTGCCAAATTTTGAGATGGCTAAAATTTTTTTGTCTCTTTCTAGTGAATTAAAAAAATTTGTGTGTAATCATCTTACTCTCACCCTTGTATATATTTACTTTGAGGATTTGTGTTCTTGCACTACTGCAAAACTTGGGAAGATTACAGTGTGTTGTTTTTTCATTAATTTTTGCCAGATTATTAGGTTAGTAATTCTACCATGATATTTTTGCTGTTTCTTGTTCTGCTTTTTCTTAAAAGCACAGTCTGTTCCCAAATCAGATGTTTATAGGATAATGTTTATTTTAGAATATAACATGGGTAACCAGTGTTTATTCATGAGTTATTGTTCACTATGTTATACCATTGTTGTGCCATCATTCGTTTATATGCAACGAAAGCTCAAACTGTTTATTTAAAACAGCATTTCCAAAGCTGCTTTCCCATTACATTCGATATAATTTGTTGTAGGTGCCCGCAAAAAAGAAGAAAAACAATGATGAAAAAGAGAAAACAGCAAGTATCCTTCTTACTCATACTGTAGTTTTAGGATATAATACTGTGTACTTGGTTGATTTCCAATTTCACATTTTTCAGTAATACAAGTATTTTATAGCAAAAGTCTACTCTCACAGGGATCTAAATTAACAATTTCTCTACTTAACTACTGAAGCCATTTTTTCAGTTGTTGAATTGGAGGAAGAATTTGTCACTATTTTGCCTATATAGATATATATAATTTGAGATTTATGTAAGTTTAACCCTTACTGTAGCATATATTTTAGTTGCTATCAATGTAGTAGAACTACTAATACCTGTATGATATCAAGCAGGGTAGCAGTTTGCCACACAGACATCCTTTCTTGGTGTTGTGTATAGTTCTTCCCTGGCAAGTCCCCTCTATCAAACCATGAAAAGGGCCTTAAGATACAATCACTGCAACATCTACACTAATGTATTTCTTCCCCAAATCAGATAAAAAGCTGTCAGCAAGCTGTTACAAGCTCCATTGTATTGATTTGTTTCTGTCAGTAAAAGTGAGAGGAGGGGTCAGCAGTGACTTCCAGAGAACCCAGATGGATCACATGTGCTAGAGCCTCCTCAGTTAGAAGAACAGTGATTTTGAGATCCCAAATGCCCACTCGAGCTGTCTGTGTGTCTTTGTCTCCCCTGTCAGCAGCAATGTTCCTAATTAGACATCTCAGTTGTCTAGGAGAGTTAAGGTGAATGGAAGGTTTACATTAGTCACCTAAAAAAAGAAGCATGAGAGTGTAAGTGATACTCAGCACACATTTTCCTTGGGACTTTTTTGGCTTTTTCATACTCATATAAGCTGTTTGCCTTAAAATTTCCGGTGACTGTGTTGTTTTTCTTACAAGAGTTGTATCTGTAAGAAATATGTATAAAACAAAGCTTTTATACCAAGAGCTTTTTTTTATTTTCATAATGTCACATCTGTTCAAGAATTTTAGTTGCAATTCTGCTTGCAAAAGACAAGATTCTATCTCTGGGCTTCTGTATTACAGTGATCAGGATAATAACTTCAGGACTGAATCCAGTAGGGTTAACTGAGTTTTGAATATTTTAAACTGAGATCATAATTGTTTTATTTGAAATGAGGTGCAAGTGCTGGAGATTCTAGCCAACTATAGTTTGCACAGTAAATATAAGCACTTTAAAATCTTTAAATGTCCTAGTTATTCTCACATATATAAGATGTCACTTCCTGTCAGAGCACTTCCTTATTACTCTATCAGAAATCTATAAAGCACTGAAAATCATATAAAAGATTACGAAATGTAATAGTGACAGTGATGAGAGGTGTGAAATAGCCAGACTATGATGGAGGTAAATTGAAGACTGCTCATAACAGTGCAAATGACTGGGTAAAATACAAATTTTCATTTTGTGATTTCTCAATAGGCTTTTGTAGAAATCTCTTTTTAAATGTCTTTGTAAAGATACCCTTTCTGTGCTCTCATTTTGCATTACCAGAATTCAATAGATGGCAATTTTATTATTTAACAACTTCCATTTAACTTTATTATGTTTTTTAGGACAAAACTAAAAAGAGGAAGAAGCACAAGAAACACAGTAAAAAGAAGAAAAAGAAGATGACTGGTTCAAATTTGGATTCAGAATAATATTCTAAAAAACAAGACTATCAACGGAAGTGCAATGACTAAAGGAAACTTAAACTGTGAAATGACAGCAAACTTTACCAAACTGCATGAGTTTTCCTGTGTTTTAGAAATATTCCTAATCTTTCAGTAGCCAGCCAGATGCAGCTGTGCTGGGAAAGACCGTTGTTATTGCCTGCTGCTTAATACATGAGGTACAACTTCTATAAAATTCCAGTAAGCAGTGTTAGATGTTTGAAACAATATAAGGTGGTAGTCCAGCTGAGGTGTAAAATATTGGAAAATAAGAGTTAAACTTTTTAGATAGTACAAGTAGTCTTTTAAAGCATTAGTAATAGTTTTTATTTGTAAATCAGGACAAATAAAATCCCAAGTTCATCCTGCAGGTTAATGATACACAAACTATTACAAGCTGGTATCTGCTAATGGCATTTACAAAGTGGGAAATTAATGATAACATTTAAAATGCTGCCTTTGTAGAAATGTTGATCATCTGCCCCATGGCCATCTTCACGCTTATGAGAAGGGGAACGCTACCATTTTGGCTAACTGAACAGGGTGCCTTTGCCTTTGGTTCTTGCAAACTGCTGCTGTTTTTAATCCATGCAGCATCTCTGATTCTAGAGAAGCCAGAACTATTGTCAGCAGCCTTTCTCTGAATGAGCAGTTCTGGCCCTCTAAGCATGTGCTTCTGCATTGAGCACGAGCAATGACATGTTGCAGTATAACTGACATTCAAAACCTGAAGATTTTACCTCTGCTTCTCTGAAATAGTGATAGATCTTTGCTAGTAAATATGCATATATTTCATTTAATGGAATTTTGGTTTAGTTGAGCACTTCTTGATAACACTGATAGCTTTCTTTGCATTACCTTTAGAATTGTTTTGCATGATTTGTACCATTTTTAAATTAATGAAATGTAGGTAATCGTTTGATGTAACCAGTTCTATGAATTATGTTCCACATGCAGAGTTTCATGTATGTATTTAGTTATTCTTAGAGTTAAGTTCGTTGCTGTGTTTAAATGCACACTTACTGAAGATACTTAACATGTAAAAAGCAGGGTTTTGATACCTTAACAGCTTCATATTGAAGCTGATTTTACTCTTAAGCAAGCTCAGTGGCAGACCTGTTACGTCATGTGTCTTGTTAGATAAAAAAAAAACTACTGCCAGAATCTCATTAAAGATACTGTTTAAACAGTTTGTATTTATATTTTTGTACTTGAGGGCTACAGAACGTTGACCTAAATCATAAAGCTGTTTAAATTAGTTGCTTTAGGAATTGAAAAAAAGCTTTTATAAATTAAATTGTGCATGCAAGAAAACATAAGCAACCATTTGATTTTAGGTTTTATGTGAAATTCTCGTCCTATCTTCCACTGAAGTACCCATTGCTGGGCCTCCTGTGTTGCTTTTAACAGCTGCCCATCCATCCCAATTGGTCAACTATAAAGACTGTACTCTTGATTCACCTCTTTATTCATTGCACAGGTGCTAACTTAGACCTTACCTCTGTTGCATACAGATGTTTCGAATATCGTATTGGAAAGAATTTCAAGACCTTTAGGGTCTTGTATTAGTCTGCAAACTGTAACTAAAAACTGGGGGAGAACGATGGTTTTTGTTATCACCATTCTACAGAAAAGTTGACATTTCCAGTTCTTGGGGAAAGTACAACCACTGAGTTGCAGCAATGTTCCTCTAAACCATACCAAGAATATTTTGACCAAATACTGTTTGGCTTGATGTCACTGATTCTAGGTGCTGTTGTGTCAGGTTAAAGTAAAGGCAAGATGCAGTGAACAGTAGGGAGTTGATTTGGAGTTTGTGTTTGGTTTTGTTGGGGTGGTTTTCTTTTTAAGTTGTGTGTTGCAATTTTGGTAAAAGAACATATAACGAGCCATAGCATAAATGCTTTGTCCTGTGTGATACCTTATTTGATTTCTACACGACTACCTGCAACAGAAAGAAATAAAAATGGATATTGGAGCCCCAGTCTTCCAGCTCCATATGCCGGTATGTCATTTAAACTGTCTGAGTGTAACTTTGTTCTGGTCAGCAGTGTGTATTGCAGGCATGGCTGTCATGCTTTGGAAAAGGTGTACCTGCTTACGGGCTTCGTCAGTTCACAGCAAAGCTGCTTTAATATCCCTGGTCAAACGTGTCTATTGCCAATATATTAACAAATACCTTCTGACTCCTCTTGCATCCTCTTTTATCCCTGAAGGAAGGGTAAGGTCTGGTCACAACTCAGCCTTCCCCATTGCACACATAGTGTATAGGAGGGTGGTGTGGGTCTCATGTGTCACGGGACAACCTACAGGTGTGCTCCACATTTGAGTGGTGGGACAAGGCAGAAGACGAGCTGTGGTGGGAGTAAAAGTGCTTTAATAGACTTCTGACTGCGGATGAGCAAATGGTATTGTACGTAGTATTTAACTTCTAGTTCTTCTTTCCAGAAATATTTTAGAAGTTTGCCATTGCTATTTTCTCTTACAGAACTGCTATTTTCCACCGTATGATAATATTTCTCCTTGTTAGGCCGGTATCTGCAGAGGCCTGTACGTGCGAGCGGCCGGAAGCACCGGGCGGCGCAGGCCGGGCCGCGTTGCCAGGGCAGCGGCGA